ATAGAAAAAACTAAACATTATTTTAAATGGAGCCATTCTAGATCATTATGTGACTTTAACATAACATCTCTTGATTTAAATTCTGTTGTTAAATAAAGATTGTACTGTTTGCCTTTTTGATTGCTTCCCCATATGATTGAGAAGATGAAGTGTCACTATAAACACGTTTCAGAAGTAGCCTCTTCTATCTTAGTGTTTCCCATTATACAGTATATTTCTAATTTATGTTTTTGCTCCCCCCATTGAAAACCCTGCCTAAAGCACAGTATAGTTCCTAGGTCTCTTTGAGCAATACGTTACTCTAGACTATAGAGTATACTTGCCAGTTCCAGTTACGCTTCAGAAAAGGAGCTATAAAAATGCAAACCTTGGAGACAAGGAATCGTTTAAACAAACCCCCTAATGCACGGCAGAATACAATCTATTTCCTCTTCCAGAGAGTCTTCTGGGGGAATGCATTGGCAGTGCAATGCTTTTAAGGGCCTGCTCTGCCCGCCATGGAGGTGGTAGTCCTCAGCCTTGCTTGCCTTCCAGTGCTCAAACACCAGGTCGTGACAAACAGCCACCACAAATCACGGGACTTAATTGGATGACACTTTTAGTAGCTTGCAAGGGAGTTCCCCAATCAAGGAAGTTATAATTAGTCAGCGCAGTCCTGATTTATAACTGCTTGTGACAGTCCAGGGGAAAAAAAAAAAGAAATAAGATCTAAAGGAGAGTAACCACATGAGCTCAAACCACACTTTCATCTTAACGGTCTGCTGCAATGTGGCTGCCAATGTTTTTATTTCCATCATTAACTTTAAATTCAAGGTCAGTGTTTTTTTCTTTCTTACGCCGGAGTCTGGGGCTCTGGCAGTTTATGATCGAGAACGCACTCACAAGCACAATTTAGAAGGAAAAGAAATAACTACAACCTGGCCAATATTGTTCTACACCCTTAAAGACGGTATGTATCAACTCAAAACAATACCCAAGGGCCATACATTGAGGATAAAATTATACTGTATGGGTGTTTTCCATAAGGAAAAATTATACGGTCTGAGTGTTTATTTTGAGCTACTTACAGGCTTCTCCGTAGACACCATGAGCTATACACAAGGACCCCTAAGTCAGCACCCCCTTGCCTGACCCCCAAGTCAACAAACACTACTTTTAAAACACCCATGTAAAATATTGTTGAATGTGGCTTTTGTACAATCTAGCTGACTCCAGTTTTCATGGAAAGTATTAACTACAAACCAACATTCCACAATGTTGTAACCACATACACATTGGATGCCTGCTCACAATTTCAAATCAATTTATTTTTTGTTTTGTTAGTGATAAATATTTTAGCATTTACTGAGACTGCATTTGACAAGGTCTCTATCTTTTTGTTACTGAACATACACTTTCTAAAGTGTTTTCTTTAATCTGTGTACAGTAATTAATATAATTTTAAAATAAATTAGTGTTTAATTAGAAATTTCATTACAGTCATCATGTCCTATGATGGGTATACATTATCAGATTATAAAATCAGCTGGAAAAACTAGAATGAAGAACATTTGGTTTTCCCTAATAAATAACCTTTTAAAGAAAATAGATTTTCTCAGAAAAAATCAATGATTAATTCCTGCAAGTCCTGTTAACATATACCAATCAGTCATTCTCCATCTGATATAAGTGATAAATCAGGTTTAACTTGAGGCCCTACCATTTGGTTAATAAGCACGAAGGAAGTATTTAAAGCAATACCTTTCATCTGGGCCATGGTGTCAAGTTTTAATTAACAACAAACCGAACCCAGAGCAGCTGTGCATAGTCTACTTCAAAGACAAGTGTATCATTGTGAAACGTGTCCACGTGAACTGTTTTCCCTTTTGTGTGATTTTCAATATGCTTTCTTTTGAAAAAAACGTTACTTTGGAATTTCAATGGAAAAAGAAAGTTTGGATAAAAATGGAAAAAAGAACTAGATGACCCAGATGTTGCTGGTTCCAGCCTGTATCACATCACTGTTCCACTATGAGCAGGATTTTCCTAGTGGAGGTGCACAACTGTTCAAGCACCACTGGGGCAGGAGTGTGATTAGTCAGCTAGGGCTCTCCCTGCTCTCTGGGTAACTGGGAGCCTGCAGTCTTGCAGCGATGTCAGTGAGAGACTCTCCTCTCCTTCCATTGCTACTGTAGCTCTCCCACCAGACGCAGTGCAGCCTGGAGTGTGTCGAAATGCTAATGTCTCTGCAGGCCTGTGTGTCAGAGGAGCTCATCAGCACAGGCGGAGCGGTGGCACTGTGGCTCAGGATCTGCGCCTGTGGCTGGAAGGTTGCCGGTTCAAATCCCGCGGCCAGCAGAGGAATCCTACTCCGTTGGGCCCCTGAGCAAGGCCCTTAACCCCAGCTGCTCCAGGGGCGCTGTATATATGGCTGACCCTGCGCTCTGACCCCAAGCTTCTCTCCCTGTGTCTGTGTCTCATGGAGAGCAAGCTGGGGTTTGTAAAAAGACAAATTCCTAATGCAAGAAATGGTATATGGCCAATAAGGTGATCATCTCTCGAGCCAGTACAGAAGTGAATGCAGAGCATTGTACAAACCACAAAACCATAGCAAAGCAAATTAAAACAGGCTTACCCTGTAGGAAACCTGCAAAATACCATGGCAAAGATTCTTAAGGATTAATGTAGCACTGGCTTAAGCCTCCAAGCTTTACAGATGGATCTTTTAACCTTTGAAAAAAAAAGCTGGTCGATACTTGTTAAGGTACTAGATGATAGAATCCCATGACATTCCTTATTTTTTCATCTGCTACCACTTGAAGAGATGTTTAAGACACTTCAAAAGTGTTATAGCCCCCTGCTAAATTTGAGCAGAGCTTCTTCCTTCCAGATTATAACCCCTTTTGCTTCTTAGCAATAATTTCCATTTGGCTTTCAGCAACAATCCTAGCCAATATTAACAATGGCTGCGAGAGATTTCCCAACTGCTTGGATGACAGCCTGGGACCTGTCACAGACTCCCATAACTTTTAAAAATGTATTCCGTCCTAGGTAACTGGTGCCTGTTACCTAGCAGAATAATCAGCAAAACCAACGATCAGAGCAGCGTTATCTGACCTTTATGGTTTTTTAAATGTAATGAGTTACGGTTGCTGAAAAGAAAATACCTTCCCTTCAAGATGTCATAGCCTTTCATGCACGGTGTAGTGCTTCTTCCAAAGAAGTGAAAAAACAGAATTTCTTGTGACATATTAAGGAGGCTGCATATGAAACAAAAAAACACTTATTTTTCAATCTTTTTCGAAGCAAAGGGATTGATGACCTTATTTGACACAACTCAGCCAGCTTTTCGTAAAATTCTTTCGCCCCTTTTCCTTCCCCCACAGGGCAACGTTTGCAAATGCAAAATAAGAAATGTGGTCCAATATATTTGCTTGAATAAATAGCATTCTCATTTATTTCTGTCACGCACAGTAAATTACAGACACCAGCGAAGCGGCATTGGCAACTGTGCACAAACCAGCTGGCTCGGGATGTGCTTCAGGAGCCGTGCATTCTGGCCCTCCTCAGCTCCACCACAGCTCGTCTTGCAAAGGCATCGCTCGCTACTTGCCAACAAAGAGCTTTCCCTAATCAGGGAGGCTTCACAGTGAATAGCTCAGAGCCCGGAAAGTGTTCTTCAGCGTCGATTTCAGGAAC